TCATTGGGTCACTAGTTCATCGCACCTCTAATAAATCGATTTGTAATTTCGTCACGATCGGGAATCAATCGGTACACCAGTCAATAAAACAATTAAAATTTAAATACAGACTTATTTTTATATTTATAAGTTTTTAATTAGAAAAAAGTTTTAATTTAGTTGACAGTTGTCAGTCGTTGAAATAAAGTGCCCTTTTTGTGAAATAATAATGTGGAAATTATTTTATTATCTCTATGGTATCATATATTTTAAATCCCCCACTTATGAAGTGACTATGCGAATAAGGTAGATCATATGCCAAATCGACAAATTTCCCCTCAAAAAAGGAAGCAAGGTCATCCATACAAAATAATTTCATAAAATAATAATTTAATAAAAAAATGTTTTCCTAAAAAAATAATTTCATAAAAAAATTAATTTCATAAAAAAACAATTTGATAAAAAAAAATTAATAAAAAATTAGTTTGGTAAATAATGCTTACTAAAAAATAATTTTATAAAAAAATTAATTTCATAAAAAAACAATTTGATAAAAAAAAAAATTAATAAAAAATTAGTTTGGTAAATAATGCATATAATTAATTATTTATAAAGCAAAATAGGTTTATTTTGCACTTTTAATTTTGAAAACAAAAGCGCCTCATAGTGAAGTGCCCATTAAACATTCTTTTCACTTTTTTGTGAAAAACCGCTTCTATATCAGATTTAAACGGTTGTTAGTCCATTTTTAGGGGATGCATATCGATTTACACATACAAATTTGACATTTGGTTGGTTTTATACATGTCGCTCTATAGAAATATTTAATTTAAATCATTTTTATAGTTTAGTAAGAATTTACTATTATTCTTGTTAATCAGGTTTTATACTAAAACAATTTTCATTGTATAAGGAGCACAAGGACTGTTTGACATACATTTGGAACATCAAGATGATGTCTACATTAGGAAGATTGCTATAAAGGATACCTGTAAATTAAACAAAACCCATATTATTTAGCATACAAATTTATGATATTAAAAAAACCTCTCGGAACAAAAAATCCGGAAGTAATCATGAAATGTCGTTTGAACTTGATAAAGGTTTTTTTTTGAAGGATAATTGGAAAAATCTGCACAAATTACCAAATTATTGAATAATTTATTACTACATAGTATTAATTAGTAGCTACTAATCGGGCTAGCTTACTTAATAGGTACCTACCGTTAAAGCCGGGTTTTCAGATTTTTTATTTTTTGGGAATTTTTGATACAGGAAATATTACCTCAAGGTTAATTAATGCATTAATTTGCACGTTTGAACATTAATTCGACAAAAAAATCCTTTATTATTCAAAAGCTAGATTTTAACTACCTACAGAATGAGATTAATTTTATATAAAAACTTTTTAACGACCAAGAAATGTTTTGTTTTAATATCTGCATATTAGCACTTCGAGATTTGTCGAAAATATTGAGCCATAAAAACACTGATTTCGAAGTAATTTATTTTTAAGTACCTATCACACATTTTGTATAATCTAATAAGATAATTTTTAAGGAATATATTTTTCCTTGCCCTAGGCAATGGAATTTAAAAAGTATTGTGCTTATCTTGTTAAATTGTGACAATATTTTCCGGTACCTACTTCAGTCAAAATGTTTTAAAAGCTGAATTTTGAACGAAAAAAATAATTCGTTTCCCATTGGTCAGGCAAACAAACTATTAAGACAAAAAATGTGAAGTTTTCAATATTTAACATATTTTCTAGTCGGCAAAACTTTCTGTATTTAGTTCTTAACTAGATACCTATAGGGCATCAGGGTAAACAAAAATTTGCTTTTATTTTTTCGACCTCTAAAATTAATTAAAACTAAAAATCACAAAAAAAAGTTGTAGATCTCAAAAATATCTATAAAAAAGTTTTAAGATCATTTGTTTAACCGTTTTTAAATTACAGCTCAAGGTAGCTAGAAATGTGTTGACGATGGTTGCAAGAATGTTTATTTTTAATTTCAATGCAAACAATAAACATATTTGGGATTTTTTTTGTCAATGAACAAAAAATTAATTGCAGAAAATATTCCGTGGCTGTTGTTTTTAGGATTTATAATTCTATGTTTAGTTGCGTCATACTACCTACATACCTATATACCTAACACAAAAATAATTGCAGGGAATATTCCGTGGATTTATAATTTAAAATCCTATTTTTAGTTGCGTCATACTATACAGGGTGTCCCATAATTAGCGTGCAATTCTTTAACAGCAGGTTCTACTTACAAAAATAGGAAAAAAGTTCCTTTCAAAATAGGTCAAGAAATGTTTCCCAAAGGAGCTACAGCCCCCGAAAGAGAAGTTCCTGAAGATGGTTTTTATTTAATATCTCCAAAACCGTTAAATAGAAAAGTGAAATTATGGGATATACTTAATCAAACTTTTTATGGCGAATAAGTTGGAAATCAAAATTTTTAACTTTTTTGTACGTATCTTGTGCTATGATTTGATATTAGATTATATAATTTCAGAGTTTTACACATAAAACAGTTCCTCTTGATGAACTTCGATAGCATGCCCCGTTTATGCTTAAAATCGATTTAAAAATTACCTTACGTAGCATAAAAATTCATAATGAAATCACAACTAGAGAAAAAGATTCAGCGTAGGCCATGGACAATTTTTAAACACCCTGTCACATATAACTGTCTTAAGATGGCAGCTGTGTCCCATGGCCTACGCTGATTCTTTTTCTCTTTTGAATTCTTTATGGTCTTTTATGCTATGTAAGGTAATTTTTAAATCGATTTTAAGCGAAAACAGTGGATAATATCAAAGTTTAACAAGAGGACCTTTTTTGTGTGTAAAACTCCGAAATTTCATAATCTGACATCAAATCCTAGCACGGGACACATACAAAAAAGTTAGGGTGGTTTTAACCCCTACTCCCTATCTATCTGACCCACCCCTCATGGAAATTTTATTGGTCATGAAAGGTTTGATTAATTCCCAAAATTTTACTTTTCTTAAATGGTTTTGGATTTGTAGGTATTAAATAAAAACCATCTTCAGGGGCTGTAGCTCCCTTAGAAAGCATTTCTCAGCCTATACGGACTTTTTTTCTTATTTTTGTACGTAGAATCTGCTGTTAAAGTATTGCACGCTAATTATGGGACACCCTGTATAGTAAAAACTTAATTATGTATCTCAAAATGTTTATTTTATACCGTTTTAGTACATTTTTAACAATAAAATTTAAAATTGTTGATTGATGACAACTGTCAAGCGTTTTTAACCTCACTTCTTACTAAATATATAAAAAAAATCACGTGTAGTTGTAAAAACTAACTTCAATAAACACTGGCAATGTGGTCTCGACTAATTTCAATCTTCCACACTCAGAAAAATGTACATGCACTGATAATAAAACTAATTTTGTAAGCGATTAATAAAATAATATTATTTAACTTAAATTTAAAATTGTAATGGCTATAAAAAAATGTACCACCTAAGGTACCTTTTTTATTAAATTTTCAGTGTCTTATTGGGACAAAAACCTACGATTTGTCAAAGTAATAAGATTATTTTTATTTACAGAATAAACTTTTTTTACTGTTAATAAAATTCTTATTTACTATATGAAGCAGCAATGTTGAGCTTCTACAAAAAAAATGTTCATCCAACAAAGTAATAGTTGTTATCATATTGTCATGGCAATAAGAAATTCTTTATGTTTATATTAAATCTTTGTCGAACTTAAAATGATTTTGTTAAATCTATAGTTGTGTGTGAATTGCGCTTACATAAAGTAATGTGCAGTTGCTATAGTAAAATTTGTTCATTTTACTATGTCATATTTGTCTTCTTTAAATTACTATCGTTGTAATTCAAATTAATTTTATTTCAGTTAGAAAATCTTTGTTAATAGCTTATGTTAAGAAAAATAACAAAAATATTTTATTGTTATAAAAAGACTTTTTTAATATTTACTATTGTTTTGCAATGGTAACAAAATTTTTGTTATTTCCCTTAAAAAGTGGGGGAAAGGGCCAGAGCTCTCCTTGGTGAACATACCTTATAATCCAGTCTGTGTTATAATCTTATTGATTTCACTTGTGCGAGTGAAGTGTGGTAAAATCTAGCATGATAAAAATATCAAAAAGATCACTAAGAAAATTAAAATTCCGACGTTTTGTATACAGAAATATTTAAGGTCTATTCTATAAACGAAGCAGACTTGTTGTTTAAAAAGTGAGTTCGTATTTTTTTTATTTTGTACATCATATAATATGAGTTAATTTTTTTGTTATAATAAATAATTTGTTTTAATGCCTCGCAATTATTTAAAAAAAACTACCCAACACCCAACAGTAGGTTGAAAATTTGACCATTGTTACAATGAAAATAGTTTATTGAATTAACAATTAATTTGTTGTTAAATTTACATAAATTTTATTAAAATAATAAAAAAAGTTTTATTTTAAACGAAAAGGGATTTGTAAAATTTACTATATTTCTATGAATAATAACATTAGGGTTTCATTAATACTACAAAACGTTTTTGTTATCGGTATAGAACTGTTTTTTTGGACAAATAATAAAAACTGTATTTATCAATGCGTTTCTGCATCTGAAAGAGTGTTATTTTTATAAACATAACGTAAATTTACTTTATAATTAATACAAATGTTATTACCGAAAGCAGCGTTTGTAGATAAATAATTTTTATAAAAATGATCTTTTTGCCGTAACAAAAGCAATTGTTGGACGAATAGGGATCTTTACTTTATTAAGACAAACTACTTTTTTTGTTATATTTATTAAAAAATTTTCTGAGTGCAGAAATTCCGAAAAATTACGCATTAAAAAGCTGGTGGCCACGAGAACAAACGAAAAACATCAATTAACACCTGTAACCTGTTTTTAATTTGCCTATGAACTGTTTAAATAAAAGCGTATTTTTTCGCGCTTCATTCAGTCTTTGACGCGTCCTCCATCGGGTAGCTGCTTGGTCTCTGCACTTCGCGAGTGTTATTAATAATAACTTATAACATTGTTAAGGCCAAAATTTATTCAAGGTGTTTGTTTATAACGTCTTACACATTTGGTTTGGTTTGGTTTAACTGTTAACTTTTATCTCGCGGTAAGTCATACACTCCTTTGAATATTCCCTCTAGGGCAAGTAGATACATTGTATTATTTTTACTATAACCAAGTAAAACTTTTTGGTCAAGAAGAAAATATACTTTTTTTGGTTTTTGCAATATAATAAAAAAGTCATTAAAGAAATTGTGTATAATAAATCTAAAAATGCGTTAAAAATAAGAACATTTTTCAAACTTTTTAATTAAATTCAAATTTAATTAAATATAAAAAAATACAAAATTTTCATATTTCTTATTAAATTTCCTCTATTGAATTTTTCTGATTAAAATTTAACTTGTAATTAAATAACAAGATAAAGTAGATCGATAAAGGTACAATATTCTTTTAATTTCATTTAAATCGGACAAAAAATTACAGCACTTTTGAATTTTGAAAATTGTCAAATTTTGTCCAAAAATGATTTTATTTCTTTAAAATTAACTAATTGTACAAAGTTCTTGATTTATTTTTTTAAATAAAAATCATTTTTAAGTTTTTTTCCATTTTTTTTCTTTATAAATTTTTTAAACAGCCATTTTCGTTATTTTGACAAAATAATTTTGAACTAGTGCAATATAAACGCAAACCTCATCCTTGTAAATAATAGCCTGCATTATCTCTCGTATAATAATATACTATTATCTACCTACTCCAATGGCAGATAATTAAATGACTTTCAAAAATAAATAAATAAAATCTGACATCTGTCAAATGGTTAACCTCACTTTTATCAATTTTAATAGTTATTTACGTGTCAAGCTTTGTAAATGAATCTTTACGTGCAAGCTGGAAGTTTGTGGGCCTGGTAAAGATTAAATGCAAAGCGTGACACGTACAAACTTTTATTTTCACCTTTATATTACGCATTTTAAATTCAAAATATTAAATGTGTCATTTCATTTCATAAATTGCTTTTCTACAAGCCTGTAAAACTTTACAGGTTTTTTATACAAGCCCGTAAAATATTACAGGTCTGTTCCCATAATGTATCGTTTACTTGAATACAAAACAACAAAATTAACCTATAAAATGTCATTTACTAAGAAGGTGAAAATAAATGTTATTATAGTCACCTTCTCCCAATTTAAAACCCGATTGGTTAAAATCACAGTGACTATTAAAATCGGCCAATCAATATCTAATGACTTTATTATTCCCATTGTTAGGCAGGAAATTTGTGTTAACATTATTTACTAAAAAAAACAATTTATTTTCTTTTAAATATCAAATATTAAAATCCCTGTGTATTTAAATAAAAAAATGTCAACAATTTTAAATATTAAATTGTCAAATGACATTTCTCCTTAAAATTTAATCCTAATTTTACAGTGACATTTTTATAGAACGTCAAATATTTTACAAAATACCAAAAACAACGATACAATTTTAAAACGAAATGGAACAGAAAAGGTAACGCAAAATAAAACTAAACATGCTTTTTATTTATTTATTTTTGATGGCTTATCTTAATTTTTGTGTTCTTTTTGTAATAATGATTCGTTTTGCAATACCTAGTGAAAATGTACAGGATTTTAATCGACTAACGATTCTGTTATGTAATTTGTTGTAGGTATACTTTTACCCGTTAGTATTTAAATAAAACTATTTGGTCGGATAACCAGTGAAAGTGCCTAACAAATAAAATGAGTAAATTTTTTTATGAATATAAGTTCATATATCTCTAAAAATATTAATTTTAGAGATTTAACTTATATGACCTTTTTTAAAGGAGACTAAATTTCCTACAAAAAAAGTTATTTGCTTTTTTCTCTTACATCAACCGTTTACAAGTTATGGGCAAAAAAACAACCAACTTAAGAATTATTTGTTTCAGATTTAAAATGGCGTACCTAGTAACCAGCGTGATAGACAAATACCATGATATCCTGGAAAACAAAAGTGGTAAGTGCAGTCTGTTTTTTTAAATCAAAATTAAAATATCGTTTGTTTGCAAATTCGACCTGGACATCAGTGAATTGCACAACATAGAAATAATTTATTAATTTATTTTTTATTGTTAAATATTTTCCGATTTGATTTAAAACGTACTTTCACTGTTCAATTTTTTCGATTTTGCAATTTGTGTGGACATCATATTTTATATTTAAACGGTGTACATGTAAATCGATTTAATTAGAATAAAACCATTGCGAATTACAAAAGTATTTATTGCAAAATACACTCGATAATTTGTAAAATACGGTTACGCTAATTTTACCTTGAGTGTTTTTGCTCATCAGTATGTTCTATGCTACGTACACACCCAAAAGGCCCACTTGACATTTGAGGCAGTGTTGCCAACTCGTGGGAAATTTCCCGATTCGTGGGAAATTTGAAGTGCCAAAGGGAAAAGGGAAATTTTAACATAAAATCCTGTATTCGTGGGAAATTGTAAAGTCCAATCAATTTTCAACTAAAACAACTAGAAAAGAAAAGTCCAATCAACATTCATGAAAAAAAATTATCGAAAAAATGTTTACTATAGTACCTATAATACCTATAATAGGTACGTACTACTTTTTCTTTTAAAAATAACAGTTTAAACATATCAAGTTTGTGGACAGCCAAAGTCAACAAACCAGCGGCCTAATAGTGACGTCACTGATGATGAGGATACATCCTGGCCATACGCTCTATGTGAATCGTCACAAACTTGCGTACATAGCTTTCCTGCTCTATGCGCGCTTCAAGTTTTTCTTACAATCAGCGTTGCCGGAAGGCCAATGCTAAATTCCTGGCTTAACTAAAATCTATTACTGGAAATTGCTGGCAAAAAATTTACGTTGTCTTCCTGGCAGAAAACTTTTGGTTTGCATACAATGAAGTTAATTTTTAATTTTATTTTTTTAGCAGGGTATTTATAAATACAGTGTATGTACTCCGCATCACACTTGAATGATCTAAGTTGAATAACAGTTTTACAGAAATTCACGCCATAAAAATTTTCGTTCCAACTTTCAAGTTTTTTACTGGTAAATTCCTGGTTCACATTCAATTACTGGCAAAACTGGATTTACCGAATTATCCGTGCGATTTGTAACAATAAGTGGGCCTATGTTTCTGTGTAGTATTTTTGTAAAAGCTGGTGAAGTATTATTTTATGAGCTGTATAAAACAAAAAGTGTTAGATTAAACTAGTTTTTATTTACAAACGCAATTCGTAATGTCTAGTTCATCAAATGAATGGTTTAAAAAAATGTATCATTTTTTTAATTTAAATTTCTCCGTTTCTCAAAATATTGTATTTTTCTTCTTAAAAACAAAAAATACCCATGCCAAAATAAACTTTATCATTTTTAAAATTCGTGGGAAAATTTACGTAAAAAAGGGAAATTTTTACCCTCTTTGTGGGAAATTTGATTCTCAAAGGTTGGCAACACTGATTTGAGGTTATGTATTATTTTTAGAAAATAAGACTAAAACTTGTTTTATAATTATTCAAATTTTTTTACAATGAACAAAAATGTCGTTATGTTAATAAAAAGCCAGATATTTGTAAAAAAACAATATGGCGCGGCACTAAAATAATTATTTTTCTCAATAACTTACAAGTTTTAAAATAAACAGAAATGTCGAAATGTTAATAAAAATCGAGATATTTGCGCGGCACTAAAAAAATAATTTTTCTTAATAATTTTAAAACTATAACAAATATATAAAAAATGCTAAGGACTTTTTTGTAGGCAATTTTCTGATCCACAATTTTTATAATAAACATAAATGTTAATGTTAATAAAAAGCGAGATATTAGCAAAAAACAATATGGCGCGGCACTAAAATAATTATTTTTTATAATAACTTAAAACTATAACAAGTACATACAAATGTGTAGGATTTTTTTGTAAACAATTTCCCAATCTACAATTTTTATTATAGCCAATGTTTCATTTGACCAATACTACTCGAGATATTTTTATTTGAGCATGGAAAACTTTAAACCTAATTAAGATTTTTATGAGCACAAAATTCGTGTAAACATTTAAGTTAATTTATAAGAGAAACATGGAAATTTTCCATTGGAAAATAAAAAATATTTAGGTTTTTTAGTAATTAATTATTTTAATATTCTAAAGATGGTTAACTATTGTTTTATTTTTAATTTAAATAATTAATTTTACTTTCAAATGTCACTGTCAACAACTATTTAAAAAGTTATAAACTAAACAAATGTTACTTCATGATTTCACCCCTTGCCACGCCACTGTTTAATATAATATCAAGAAAATAAAATCGAATTGTATCAAATTTGAAATTGTAATTAAATAAGCATGCTAAAAAAGTATCAAAATGACCATTTTATAAATCTTAAAGTTATTTATTTATAAGCATAATTGTTTAAATAATATTTCACATTGACCTAGAAAAAAATATTTATACAATGTTTTCGTTTATAAATCTCAAAACATTTCCTCCACTTAAATGTTATTACCGATTATAATAGAATCGGTAGGAATAAGAACAGTACAAGTCCAAAAATTTAATTTTGACTAGTCATTTTTTAAAATTAATTTTAAAGTTTAAAATACTTTTTGTGAGAAGATATAAATCATTTTACAGAATATGAACATTATATTTTATAAAATAGTTAAAATATTCCCGCAAAAATGCATTAATTTTTAGTATTAAAAAACTGATTTTTTGAAATATTTTGACTTTTGGACTTCTTAATCTCACTGATTTAATTATTAATTAAGTTTTTCCTCAAAGTCGTCCGATTGATATTTTCGTTTCGTAACCGTGTGCCTTCAACTTGAAGGCTTGTAGGCTTCAAGGTTTCCAAAACATTTGCCGGTCGAGCAAGAAAAGGAAACATGACAACGTTGCGATCGGTTTTACGCGGGTTCTGCTGATTTGCCGCGCAAAGCCGCATTTCGGCACTGACCTTCCGCAATGCCGCAGCCACGTTGCCAAGCTTCCCTCAACATACGATGTTTTTTAGTTGATGTATTTATCATATTTTCGAAATAAAATCGAATTTTTAAAACTTTAACTTTAACTTTTATATAAAAATGTTTGGTACGATTCGTGGTACTTTTTGCAAAAATTGGCAACACCGCAACTCACGTTACAGCGATTGTATAATGCAGACAGACGGATGAGACATAAAAGTGGGAAAGTAGCGCACTAACTTGCCGATAATCGGGTCAAGCCGCATTTCGCTCCTTTGTAGCCTTTTAAAACCGTCATATGTTTTTACGTCACACCCGCGGGCTGAGGCATAATTGCTTGGAATTCTATTAAAGAGGGAAAGTGTTTTTCTTTCATAGTAAAAGTTCAGTTATTTTATATCCTACCTATATACTTTAAAATATAGCAAATACTTGAATGTGGTTGTATTAATAAATATAAATATATATATATATATATATATATACCTAGGTACCTATATCTCTTATTTGTTAACATTTTAATGACTAATACATTATTATTAATAAAAATGTTTTGAATTCTTCCAAGACCATATATCTATTTATTACTCAAGTACTTACGCATTACTAGGTATAGGATTACAACATTTACAATCAGCATTTTTGTCGTAGCTGCATTTTTTGTTATTTTTCTATCCGTTCTATAAACATAGTGATCCACTTTTTATTGTTAACAAAACAAAAGCAAATTAAAAAAATACAAATAAAAAACAATGTTTGTTAGGGTTTAAAACTGAAAAAACTTAAGGCCTTATTTATGTTTTACAATTTTTAAAGTACTATTAACAAGTGTTTTATAGAAAATGTTCTATTTACATAAATTAATTGTTAAAATTTACATAGGTACAGGGTGATCCCCTATAATGTCGCCCCCCCTTTAACTTTTTTATTTTAAGTGTCCCAAAAAATTTAAAAGTGTGGTTATGAAGGTACTAAAAAATACTTTTTTTCTACGTATAAAGAAAATTGAAAAATTGATCAGTATACAGGGAAAAACAAAAAGTTTATTTTTTTTCAATGGATCACCCTATATATGTATTTATTTTTCGATTCCTTGAAAAATTCTAAGCATATTTCATATAACATACCATATACCTAAATTTAACCGTTTCTAAAGTATTTAAATTATTTTTAAGATAATAAGTTGAAATAGTTTGTCTTTCTCTGTCTGAGTACGCCATTTTTACTTATTTAACAAGACATATTGACATAATGTCAATATAGTAATTTATTTTCAATAAAAATTTTGATATAGGTACTGATTTTTAACAGTTTAAAAAAACATTTAATGATAACATTTCGAATGCGAATATTTCAGAAACGGTTGAATTTAGGTATATGGTTTGTTATATGAATTATGCTAAGAATTTTACAAGGAATCGAAAAATAAATTCATATATAGGGTGATCCATTGAAAAATAATAAACTTTTTGTTTTTCCCTGTATATTGATCAATTTTTCATTTTTTTATACATAAAAAAAAGTATTTTTTAGTACCTACATAACCACACTTTTAAATTTTTTGAATAAAAAAGTTAAAGGGGGGCGACATTATAGGGGATCACCCTGTACATGCCAGAAAAATACCTATAGGATTATAGGTATACCTAAACAATTGTGGTTTCAGCAAAAATTATTTACAATGATAATTATTATACTTTATTATTAATATTAACATAATAAATATTATAAACAGATAAAAGTTCAACATAATATGATTTATAAATCATTTTTTTTAAATTAATTATAATGCAATATTTGAAGTAAACGTGTTTTTTAAACATAGATTTACTTTTACTTCTACACGTTTTATTTCCTTAATATTAACCATGTATTTCCTCCAAGCTGAAAATATTGATTTTCATTTTTTGTTTAACCTACTTTTTCTAGTTCCTTAAACATTTTATCACGTTTGTTTTGAAATTGATTTCATTGCCACGGACAAAAGAAATTTGAACGTTTGCGAAACTGTAATCGATTTCGTGAATACCAATAAACTTTTCCAGGCATTGCCCAACTTTTGCTGCTGTAATTGTTTATTTCACTTGATTTACAGAACATTCTAGTCATGGCCATGAAAAAAAGTCTTCTATTTTTTTCCTACTAAATTTTACATTTTAAAACTTGTAATTTGTAAGGTTAACGATGGCGTTTAATGTCCACACTTTGAACCCAAAAATGCACCTTGATAATGTTTAATTGCAAAAATTAAGGTTAACGTTATACTTGTGTCGATAAAATTTCCAGAAACGATATCAAACAATTTTCATTATTTTAATTAATTTTCTATGTATTTTAAAAATAACATTAAACATTAAAAACGTCAGTTTGATAACAGGTGATATTTTCTATCTCACAAACACTTACAAAACAGAAAAAAATACATTTAATATCTTTTTTCTACTTCTGTTTCCGTATATAAAGGTAACATTATAACAACGGGAATAATGAACTCATTATATTCGTTCATAGGCATCAGTGATTGGCCGTTTTCATTATTCACTGTGATTTTTAACCAATCGGGTTTTAATTTGGGAGAAAGTAAAGTGCTGACATATTTATTTTATTTATAAATCACTGAATTTAAGTTTAGTTTCACTTTTGATGATTTTTTTCCTTCTTTTTAGATCCTAGGGTAAATGGATGGGCCATGATGTCGAGTCCGTTGCCAACTTTGTTCATATGTTTATTCTACGCCTACTTTTCCAAAGTGATAGGACCAAAACTGATGGAAAACAGAAAACCGTTCAGTCTTAGGAGAATTTTGATTGGATATAATGCTATACAAACGATTTTTAGCGCTTGGATATTTTATGAGGTATAAACCTCAATTTTAACTCTTTAATCTCTTTAACTCTTTTTTTTCTTAGTACATGATGAGCGGATGGTGGGGTAATTACAGCTTCAGATGCCAACCAGTAGACTACAGCAACGACCCCATTGCAATGAGGGTGAGTTATCATTTACCCCCCTCATGAAATATAATTATAAACATTTTGGTTTTGTGAATTTCAGATGGCAAGGACATGCTGGTGGTACTATTTTTCCAAGTTCACGGAATTCTTCGACACTTTGTTTTTCATCTTGAGAAAAAAGAACAGCCACGTGTCTACTTTGCACGTCATTCACCACGGCTGCATGCCTTTCTCGGTTTGGATGGGGATGAAGTTTGCTCCAGGTATTTTTTTTTTGATTTTTTAAATTAATAATTAGAATAGATGGGATTTTAGTGTTGTTAACTCTTTTTTTACGATTGCCATAACTTCATTTTTTTTATCTGGACTGCGGCAACGTTGCAGATTTAGGGTTTTGGTTGGTAAATACAGTTGTCAAGTTGGTCGCATTGATTAAAACAAACTAAGCTAGTTATAAATCTAATTGTGGTTATGTATAAATTATTGTAGGTTACATTGTGCAGTTGTCAAGTTGAGTTGTCGAAATTCGTAGTTAAAAATGCAATTAATTTGACTTTGGTGGTGCTTGGATGAGTAAAATCGTATATATATATAATCGTTAAATATAGGTTTCTTTACGGCCCAGAAGACAAAGTATTCCTAGCGGATAATAATCTTCGCTTTGAAAAGAATTTATATAAAAGAAATTAAATTTTTTTCTGAACGTAAATGTTGTCCAATGGTGTGAAAATAATGTGTGATGTAATATTTATAAAACCAAATTCGATACTTTTTTACTCCAAAATGCTTATAAGGCGATGTAATTTTTCTTCAATTGTGGCATAATTTCATCAGAATGAAATTTTGCCCTCAAAAGAGCTTTTACATTCGAATTCGTTGCTATTATTGTTGGCATAAATATTATTGTCAATTTGACAGTGTCAAAGTATTTAATTAAATTCTTTAGCAGAAGTAGGTACCATTTTTAAATACTAAAGTAGTCCAGATAAAAAAAATGAACTGTAGGTGCAATGGAATAAAATCTGTTTTGAGGAAAATGATTTCATTTCAGCCCGATTTTATTTTACCTATTTTCAATGGACCTATTTTTTAAATTTTACTACCTTTGTGTGATTTCACCTAAATTTTTATTTTTAACAGAAATTAAACAAATTTTACTATCAAAAACATAATTTTTTGTAACATTGGGGTTGTCAAATTTGGATGACAAAATTCTTAGGCACTAGTAGTTATTTTTGTTGTACAGGATTGGTAACGTGGGTCGGTTGATAGTGGTTGGTAGTACCAACTTGGTACTCGGACATTCCTGTGCAATGTTGCCAGGTCTCATGGTTTTGCATGTTCACAAATTTCAGCAAATTTGTGCTTTTCTATGAGAAAGTATTTTTTAAACGTTTCTATCATAATGAATCTGAATTTTTTATTGTCAGCAATTGTATGCTTATTTACACAAACCTTATTTAGGAATTTTCTCACCTAAAACAAGAAAGTAATTTTAGCAATTAAATTTTATCGTACCTAAATAGTTATGTAAACACGACATTTGAATTAAATTAAATGTATAAAATGCAAATAATGTAAAACATTTAATTTAACGATTTAAACATACTAATTGTTATAAGTTGTTTACATGAAATAAAAAAACTAAAATCAATATCCAATATTTACCCTAATTACACCGAACATTGACGCAAATACTGTTTGAAGTATTGTTGATTATGTAATTAAAATTAAAACCTCCACTGATTATAAATATAATTATATTTATTTGTTTATTACCTACAATTTTTTATAATTTATGAATTTATTAATAAAATTTGTAACTGTTTTTCTGGTAAAATTAACTTTCTATTTTTATGGTTGTTTTTTCTTGCACACAGGTGGTCACAGTACCTTCTTCGCCTTGCTCAACACTTTTGTGCACATCGTCATGTATTTCTATTACATGGTTGCCGCAATGGGTCCACAATACCAAAAATTCATTTGGTGGAAAAAATACCTCACCTCTTTCCAAATGGTATGTAAAACAATTCAAGATGGAATGCTTTTAACAACTTTTAAATTATAATATTTTATCTTTTTCTTTTAGTTGCAATTCGTCGCTATTTTCGCTCACCAGTTCCAACTCCTCTTCACTGAATGCAACTACCCCAAAAGCTTTATGATTTGGATTGCGTTGCACGGCGTCATGTTTTTATTCCTCTTTAGCGATTTTTATAAAGTCAAATATACCAACGACAAAAAGACTGTGAAGGCTAACAACAACGCTGGAGCTTGTATGGTAAGCATATATGTTTAAACTTATATTATTTCCATATACACACTTTTTATTTATTTATTAGTTGGTCTATAACGCAATTTTGAGGACCTTACAACATACCTATTTAAAACCCATGATTCATATAATAAACCAAACTTACACCTGGGAGCGATTTTGGTAATTGATTTGTGGGTAAAAGTATTTAAAAAACCGCATTTAAAACTTCAAATTCCAAACACATTCACAATATTGCAATATTATGAAAATGTTGATTGATTAGAGGGGCTTAAAAACGAAGAAATTAAAAGAAAATATTCTAGGAATTAACGGGACAGTAACATTCAGTAGTATTACTATAATAATAGTTAAACCACTGATCGCAGATATACTAAAACAATTAAAAAAAATATTGTTTAACCATGCCTAAATCATGATGATTTTAATTTTTAACTATTTTATATATTTTGAACTGTAATCTCCGATATCATTTAAAAGAGTGGTTTTACGAAAAAAACAAAAACATCTTTTTTGTAGAGCGTAAAATTGTGTCCTTTATATTTGCTAAATTAACTTCTATACAAAAGTTGATAATAACCAAGATACAGGGTGTCAAAGTTGAAAGTTCGTTTTCAATTTTATTAAAGAAATTTGAAAAAATAAACGTTTATGCACAAAATTTGATTTTTGGGGGTTTTTCAGAATTAATGTAAGTTGTAGAGGGCGCTGTCTGCGACACTTTGCATACCTACTTTTAAATTGTCATATTTTGTGCGCCGTATCTTTATTTTTCGAGATATTTGCATTTAAATTGTGCACCCATTTAATAGTGATTTGAAAATGTAACATTTTTTACCATAAAAATACATTAAGAGACGCTACAAATTTATTTATTTTTAAAATTGTATGTTTTTAAATACTTTTATCCGAAATCGGCAGTAAAGTAGTCAACAATCGGCAGTAAAGTAAAAGAAATCGGCAGTAGAACTTTACTGCCGATTTAATACGAGTATTGTATGCAACTCATACATTTTAAGATGTGTCTACTGCTCCTAAGCAGCAACTAAATAATATTTAAAAAAAGCACCGTCGCGGACCTCGATTGGACCCTTCCATAAAATGTTGTTTAATAAAAATAATAAATTAATTTTATTAATTAGATTAAAAAATCGCCGCGGTGGGCAAATATATAATAATCGTCGCAACAAACAGTATACGTATACACTTCCTACATTCAAATGACATTTGATTTGATCATCAATGACATTTGATTTAATCATCAATATTAGTATTATTAAATGTGATAATAATTTCCACATTGCTGATAAAAAACACGACTTTACTGCCTTGATACATAAATAACTATTAAAAAAATATTTATTATTTTTAAGTACAAATTAATCACAATAAAAGGGGCACACTAAACAATTTAAACGCACGTATCTCAAAAACGGTTACTTGGAGGGATTTAATTGCTTAATAAAGAACACTTGGGAAAAAACAACTTGGAAAATAGGGGACACCCTAATATTTATACAAATATTTACAATATAACATACAGTAGAAGTCATGGCACTTGTGCGAGTAGGGTTTTTTTAAAATCTTATAGTCATGGAGCTTACACAAGGAGTACGAATTCAATTGCGGGAATTGGCAGAACCTGCCTTCTAAATCGCACAAATTACGTGTTATTTTTTCACCACTAGCTGCCAGGGTTCGTTAATCGTTTGATTTAAATCACAATTTAAATTAAGTAATTTTTTTATTTTAATCAATGATTTAAATCAGTTTTAAAAAAAGTTTCTAAAATTTAAAAAAAAACACTTAAAAAGTCTTAAACTAAACACTTGACACTATTTAAATAAAATCATATGCATATAAAAACTGCTTATTTTGCCAAATAAAATAATAAAGGAATATAGGTACAACAAAAATTGACACTTGTGGACGGTGGTTAATTTTTTTATAAAGTAGTGCCAATATAATATTATAGTCAAGTTATTTTTAGTATTTTTTTTAATAGTACACTTTATTAAAAAAAGCTTATAATTTTAAAAAATCATTTTTTGTTGATTTTTTTAATAAAAATCATTAATTTTTTATTAAAACCCTGCTAGCGGCGCTGATTTACATTTTGTGCCACCACTTCTACTATGACAATGTTGCGATAATGTTCATAATATGCATTTATGTGTTTACATTGTTCATCTAATTCAACATTATAAATATTTCTTTTAAATTCGAAGTATCGAAAAAAAAACAAATTTTTTGTTTTTCGTTTTTTCCCAAGCCTTGAAAAAATTGGCTTTTTCGGAAAAACATAATTTTTTTTTGGAAAATATATACATTTGCAAAAATGTAGCATTCAACAACTTAATTTTAATTTTAAAAAAATATCCTTTATTACAAAATAAATAAACATTGAAAATAAACGCAAACGTAAAATATACTGTCGGTTGGGTTTTTTGCAAAAAAGGAAATATCCAACTACAAAATAATTTTATAAACCGAACTGTTAAATAAAAGTTATGTTATTACAGTACCGAATATGTTTTTTGGGGCCCAGTTACTACACTCATAATAGTTTTTTTGGGGCCCAGTTACTACACTCATAATATTATGTTTATAACCAGCGTCGGAAATTCAGTTTTTTCTCGATATCATTGCACGGATATTATATTTAGAAATTTTCAGAAAAATTTACTTGCATTTTTTTGTATTATTGTATTCCACGTTACTCGGGGATTTTTGTCCCGCCCGTCACAATTAAAAATTGTGAGTAAAAATTACACGTTATAAAATTTATTTTAAAATATTGTTTATTATGCTTTTAATAAGTTATAAGCACAATAAAAATAATATTATAAAATATTGATTTAATAACTTGTGGTTTTTACTCACAATTTTTAATTGTTACGGGCGGGACAAAAATTACCGAGTAACGTGGAATGCCCCATTACCCTTTTGAATAAAATTTATAAAATGAAAACAGCAATTTTTCTGAAAATTTACCAATTTTTCCGTTTTTTTCCGGAAAAAACTGTTTTTTTTTCAGCCGGCTCAATTTTTCCGGAAATTTTAAAACACTACTCTACGAGGTGTGTTCAGAAAATATCGGGAATTTTCGTTTTTTGAAAAAAATATTTGTTTATTCGTCTACATTAATGTTGTCGCCTTAAAAATAGTCCCCATTGGATATTATGCACATGTGCCAGCTCTTCTTCCAATACTCGAAACACTTCTAAAACTCGATCTTTGGGATAGCCTTTAGTTTTTTCAGCGATGCGCTTTTAATGTCATCTATGCTTGCAAAACGACGGCCCTTTAAGGTTCTCTTTATTTTTGGGAATAGGAAAAAGTCAGACAGAGGCATGTCTGGCGCATCATTACAGTATTGTTTTTGGCCAAAAATTTTGTTCAAAATTTAACAATTTTAGAACAAATTTTGCTGCTACGCGTTTCATACCCAAAACATTCGAAAAAATTTCATGGGATGAGCCAATCGATATACCAACATCATCAGCGACTTCTCTGATGGATTGTAACCATTTCTTCCACTTTTTCCATGTTTTTATCGGTTGTTAATGTGCTTGTGCGTTCGTCATCTTCACGGCCATCTTGGAAACTCTTATACCACTTGTAAACTCTTGTTTTACTTATAGCAGACTCACTATAGGCCTTTGTTAACATTTCACAGAATTTATTTAATTTTTTAAGCAAAATTGGATACAAATTCTTTGATCCATTTCTTTTAACAAACAAAAAATCGCCGAGCTCATAAAACACGTCTAACCTTAGCGGCTGCCACAGACAAAGTAAACAATGAAAACATCTAAAGTTTTTATCATACTTCGGGGGCATGTATACCAACATAATAAAGAAAATTTTATGACAACCGGACCCTCTGAACCCGCGAAATTTAACAATTATTTTCTGAACATACCTCGTACATATGCTTAAGCGCTCATTTCCTCTTTATTATTTTACATTTGATAATCCTTTAAGAATCTACTATTTCAACATATTTCGCCACACGGCAGTGTGACCCTATTTGACAGATCCCGTCTCTAAAAACGAGTGATGTTGACAAATTTTCCGTTTTCCTTTTCAGCCTGTTCTCGAAGACGACGAGAAGAAGTCCTACAGCAACGGTAGTCTGAAAAACACTTACATTTCGAGCGAGTACAGCGACTCGTACAAAGCGTGCTATTCGAATGGAAGCACGAAGGGCTTCGTCACGCAAACCATAGTAAAGGACAACATCAAAAAAATTGAATAGACAGACAATCGTGTAGTTTGTTAGCTAGAAGAAATGCGCCAAGTTTTGCCGGCGAAGCGACCCCTAGCGGCAGCAATAACACGTACGAAAACGGTCGGGCGGTTTTTCGACTGGCAAAGCATGGATGTCGAAATTTTTTGTATTTACGTACCTAGGTTATTATTTATTTTATATATTTTTTAAATCATATAATGCCGGTTACGAACATTTTTTTACTCAGGGGCATAGCTGTTTACAGTCATTATTTCTATTTATTTCTAATAAAAAAATGTTTAAAAATTACGAAATTCGACCGGTGATTTATTTGAAAATCAAACTGTATATTTTTATTTTTCCCATCAATAAAAATAAGAAGGTATTGGTGTACAATCATTTATTTTGGAAGCTGTTTTTAGCTTACGGGACCATTTATGTCTCATTTCGCTTCAAAATGCACTTTTTGATTAATTTTTTTGTCAACCGTTAGTGCCTAGAGAATCACATATACCTAAGATGGAAATTTTTCTATATTTTTTACATTTAAAGTTTTATTGTTATAAATAAAAAATATAATCTACTTAACGTTTATTTTTTACTTTTTATATCTAACAATGTTATGTGATAATACCTAAATTATCATTATTTTTACTTATAGACACGAGGTTGCTAAACAGTAGGTAATCTCGATAAAATACTAAATAAATGAGAAAATTTATTAATTAGAACCAAATATTGAAAATTTTAATAATTTTGCCCAATAGTGATACATTCAATTTACATAGCTTTACTTTTATTGTATGTAAATCTAATTTTCTATCTTAAGTTTAACGGTGTTGTTTTTATAACAATTTTATTGATGTTGATATTTGTTAGTACATTATGTATGTGAAGCACATTTATTTTATTTTTATACTCTATAAAAAAGTATCAATCCAAGATTTTATATTATATATTATAATTATTATAATATATTTCTTGGATTTGCATTTAAAATAAATATTTTGATATTCTCCCATTTATAACATAAACTTGAGGTGGTTAATTTTTATAGCTTGGCTCTCTACCTTTCAAAGTTAACGGTTTTTGATTTAATTAAATTTGTATGCTATATGTAGATGTTAAATTGTATATATTTGTTGTTAAGATTTTAGGTTAAAGTGTATAGTATTTTTGTAAATAAACCATCCAAAACTAAATAAAAACCTGCATTTTGAAATACATCTTTTATTTAAAACTCCAGCAAAAATTTACGTAATATACTTTTTCTGCTTGAATGGATCACCATCAGGCTTACCTTGTTTTTTACATGTTGTCTGCAATGAAAGTTTCATGGCTAGAATCTCACGTGAGTGATAGGGGGGTCTACCACATCTCATCAAGGGGGAGGGGTCCAAATTATCAAAAAAAATGCCTCACGTAATTAATGAATGTCCCCTAAACAATACCAAAAACCGTAGTGTCGTTTATAAATTCCCGTATGGGAATCTATAAACAGCATAACGATTTTTGTATTGTTCACCTTTTACGGGAGGAAGGCAATTTATAAATCAGTTTATTACAAATTATTTATTTATTTTTGTAATAAGAAAGTTTAAAGCAATATTTTAAATATTATTTAATGTCAAAATCTCCTTTTAAAAATCGAATAAAATATTTAAATTGAAGGGGTTAGAATAAAAAGGGTATAAGTAACATTTTCATTTTTTGGAGATATTTGAAGTTAAAGTTATGTTACCATAAAAAAGTGAAGAATTTTGTTTAGTATTGTTTTTCTACTGGATAATAGAGGTCCCTAGAAGTATGAAAATTACTTAAATCCTTTTCATTTCGATACGTCGGAACCTTATCTTTCACAAAACGAACTTATCTCCTAAATTAAAGAAATTGCACTTATACCCTTTCTATTCTAACCCCTTCAATTTTCGGCAGTAAAAAAATTTTTATTTGTCTTTTTTTTGGGCTTCTTCACAACATATTTTTTTTCTTTTTACCAGTACTGTTATATATTTATTATTATAAAAAACATATTTCAAACATTGTTAAGGATTTATAAACTATTTTTAACAATTAACTATTTTAAACATTAATTAAGCCTAATTTTTTTTGTTTGTTCTCCCTCATTGAGTTGTTGCTGGTTTGCTCTCTTTATTGAGACGTTAAATTTCACAGAATCGCACGCTAAAGTACAATGATCATTTCCGAAAGAACCCTTCGTACACAAGCGTAATTTTTTATTAATGACCATTCCCCTGCAGACTTTAAAACTTCTACTGTATAAATATAGGAACTTGGATTTTCATTGGAGCAACCCATTTTATACCATGATTTTTAGGATAATATGAGATTCTGAATATCTTTGAATCAAACAAAGTCCATTTTTTGGTTGATGGGCTTTGTGATGTAAATGTTAAATTGGAAGTAAGTTCCATCTCCTTATGTGCACTATTCAAATGTTCCACTATGAATTCATAGATACCAGATTCACCACATCTCATTGGACATCTGAATATATGTAATGGGCAAGATTCTTCATGTTTCGTTACTTGAGGTTCAGTCCCAAATTCCTTGCATCCTAGTTCTTTAAATCGGCATGGATATTTTAAACTGTTAGTTAAACCTTCTATTAAAAAATTTCTGTTTGTGGCCCAGTCTTCACTGCATGTGGGACATTCCTGTAATTTTTCATGACAAAAAATACAGATGCTGTGTCCATTTAAACACAAGTAAATTGGTGGTCTCATTATGTGAAAACAGACAGGACATTCCAGTAGTTTCAGTGTTTTTTCATCAATATCACTTGGATTTAAATTAAATTCATTAACTATTATATTGTTTTTGTCTGCAAGATGTTGTAATAACTCCATATTTATTACCTCTGTTGCATAAGGGTTTTTATTTAGATTGAATTCATCATAAACACTATTTAGCTTGGTAAGTGTGCCTACAGTTTTTAAAAAGTTTGGTGTTTCTTTACTTTTGTGTCTTACGGAATATTCAATATTTTCTTCACATAGATAGATTGGATTCATGGCATAGTAAAACATATTATTAATAATTGAAGTTGTTAGAAGGCAGCTTTTGTGGTCACCAATCAATAATTTTATGTTGTATGGTTCAGATAAGGATGTATCAACTTCAAAAATGTTATTATCACTTTTCATCACATGCTCTTTGTGGTATGTTGAAATATGCTCAGATATTTCAAAAATATTTCCATTCCATTTGCAATCTGCATATCTCACAATAGGACAAGGTTTCACTTTGTATTCACAAGCATTGGTGTGCTTTTCATAATTTTTACATGTCAGTTTTTTAATGCAGCCCTTAGATTCGTATTTGCATGGCAAAATAAGCTGAGACATAATGAAGATATGAGCGGAATTTAACTCTGCTCTCGATTTATCTTCGCACTTTTCATAGCATTTCAAACACACGTTCCCTTTACCGATTATTAAAAATATATCGGAAATGCAAAGTTCATCGCAAATCCTGCAGTTAAAGATTTTCTCTTTTAACAGATTGTCGTTTAAATTGGTTGGTAAATCGTTCGCCATTTGGTCTATAAAGAAAATAATTAACATTTAATGATCTACGGGATTCCCCCATTTATTACAAGGCAAAGTCCATAAATAACTCCAAACTGAAGTCTCCAATATCAATAATTTTATTAACATGCATATTTAACCACCAACAAATAATAAGACAAAACTTTGACACTTACCTAATAGAATTAACCTTAAAATCGTGTGTAAATTTGCGAATAACAATTGACCATATGCAAGGAATGCGGTCGATGTTGCCAATGGTAAAAAAATAAAATTTCCTATTGGGAACATTCAATTATATTACGTTGGCTACACTGAAATTTTAAATTTCCCGCACAAACTGACATACATTCTAGTAGTTCCCAGAGATAAAGAAGGTAGTTCCAATGTTGTATAATAAATTAAGGTGCTAATTTTAAGTGTGGGAGTCCTATACTGTTCAATTTATATATGTGCAACATCATGGATGTTTTGTCCCCGGGGGTCAAAATTGTTCAATACGCAGATGATATTGCGATGTACTCAACTCACAGAGATATTAAGTTGATAGAATTTAGACTTAACTCTTCTCTCCAGAATATGAAGTTATGGCTAGATGAATTAGGACTAGAAATGCGCCCTGATAAATGTAAGGTAATAAATTTTACGAATTCTAAATATATCACACCTAAGATATTATACAATGAAATTCGGTTGGAAGTGCTAAGATCGATTAAATTCCTGGGTATGATATTTGATGCAAAGTTAAATTGGAAGGAACACATAAATGAGGTATTTGTCAAATGCGGTAGACTTATAAATGTTTTGAGGTGTCTCACTGGAACTGGATGGGGTGGGGACCCAAAAACTTTGTTAATGATGTATAAGGGCCTGATAAGGTCCAGAATTGATTATGGATGCTTTATATATGATAACGCTTCTAAGACATTATTAAACTGCCTGGACAGAATTCAGTTCCAAGCCTTAAGAGTTTGCATGGGAGCTATGAAATCGACACCAACAAACACTCTTTTACTAGAAGGAGGCGAACCCCCCCTTTTTGCAAGAAGACAGTTTCTTAGTGACAAGTATTTGGTAAATAAATCAGGTTTACTAAATAATGCGATCGTTAATGAGTTGGCTAAACTAGAAGGTCTAGTTAATAATACCAACAATTTTTCTAAATATAAGGATTTAATTCAATTAATTTCCCTTAAAAAATTCAAAATATTCGATAATACCATTATAAAGAGCAATAAACTAGCAATGTTCAGCCATGATTATTTCAATCAGTTAACAATTGTCCCTACTTGTATGAATATAAATATTAAGAAGAATAGCAAAGACCCTTGTAGAATAGTTAACGCAATTTTTAATGAAATAATAAAGGAGAGATGGCCAAATCATGTATACGTTTACACAGATGGCTCTAAGGTTGAGAATGTTTACGTTTCATTTGGAGTATTTATTCCAAGCTTAAAATTGAATAAATCTGTACGGATCTCGAAGGAGGCATCAATTTATACTGCTGAACTATCAGCAATATTTGGGGCCATGGCTATATGTTTAGAGAAAAATATTAAAAAGTTTGTAATATTTACAGATTCTCGCAGCAGTGTCCAAAGCTTACAAAACTATAAGTACAATTCTAAATCCAACAATATAATTATTGGAATTCTGAACATATACTGTAAGATAAAAGAGGTAGGGGGTTCAGGAGTCATTTGTTGGATTCCAGGGCACTCTGGTATTATTGGCAACGAAAAGGTAGATGATATAGCAAAGAAAGCGTCGGGCGAACAGGTTACTAATATAAAAATTCCACATTCGGATCTAGGATATCACACTCAAATTTCCCTGAAAGAATCATGCAAGCAATTTTGGAACAACTCATACCCTTTAAGAGGGAAAAATTATGCACTGTTGGAAAATAAAAGTTGGAGGGTTCCATGGTTTAACTTATGCAAAAACTTGGGCAGAGAGTTTTTCACAACATTAATCAGGCTGAGATTTGGGCATTGCTACTCACCTGCTCATTTATTTAGAATTGGGGTAAAGGAGAGCTCAGAATGTGCATGTGGGCAATATGGAGACATCAATCATATAATGTTTAATTGTACAAACAATAAAGTAAACATTGAAATCCTCTATAATAGGTTGTTATTGCTGGGACATAAACCACCATTTAATATCAGTAATATTCTATCACTCTATCATATAGATACATATTTAGTTATTTTCAAATTCTTAAAATCATCTAAATTAAAATTGTGATTTCTTATAGTTTCCTTCCCAAGGAGTATGCTAGGCCCTTTGTTTTTTTAATACCTGTCTATATTATATACATAAATTCAAATTAATCACGGTTGCGAATGATTAACAAAAAAAGAACTAGCCAAGATAACCACATGGTATACTAGTCTGAAAAAGTTCAAAATCCACTTGTTGCTGGTCAAAATGGTACATTGATTCCAAGACCATTAAGGCGTTGTGCCACAAAGAAGAAGAAGAAGAAGAAGTGTGGGAATTATTATTATTTAGTATTATTAAAAAAAAAGATGGAAATTAATTTAGTTTGTGCGGGAAATTCAAATTTTCAATGTAGCCAACGTAACATAATTGAATGTTCCCAATAGGGAATTTTATTGTTTTACCATTGGCAACATCGACCGCATTCCTTGCAT